CAACACGCCCCCAAAAACAAATAATACAAATGATCAACTGAGCTCTGATACCATGAAAACTAACAAAACATACAACGGATAGGGTTTTATATTATTATCAAATTAAAAAAACCAGATACAATGAAAGAAAAAGAAATAATATATAGACTAGTTAATTAGGGTTTCCTAGCTAATGAGCCAATATAAAACCCAATACAAAATAAAGTCCAAAATCGGAGCTCGAATAGCTTGAAAGTTTTCATTAAATGTTTGCTCATATAAACAAACATGTTTAAGGAGCTTGACAAAATCTAACTGAAACGGGCCGTGTGATTGAGCCCCAATAACTTAGACAAAAGCTTGCAATCTTCCACCCTTAATTACATAGATAGCTTTACATATAACATGGAGCTACATAGACCCAAAAAAGAATTCGAGTTGAGCCTTACGAGCTCAAGTCAGCTATTTTATTGGCCATTAAAAAAATAATCAAAGATTTTGTATTTTGACTGGATTTGGTGTAAAGTACTCAATTGCATTGCTTCGTGCAGCTCTTTGATATTTCTATGTTCGATTTGTTGAACCGAAACAAATCAAGCCACGAGCCACATGAAGAACATCGACCAAACGGTAAGTGATACTGATGCCAAACCATACGACCACATCATAATCACCGAACATTCACTTTCACCAGCTCCAAATAATTGTGTTATTGTACCTACAACAATATCATATCATCAAATTTGACAACTTGTTATAAAAAAATGAAATATCCAAGAAAAATATCTACAATTTGTACTCTCATACCAATGTTCATGGAGGGTGGAACCGCAAATTGTAGTAAAAGAACATAGACATAAAGAGGATCTGGATGCACTAAGCCCAAGTAAATCGCTCCTTTCACGATTAAAATGCCAACAAGTGGCAACAAAACTAACCGAACTGCTACGATTCCAAACACAATTGGTAACGAGACACGAGATGATCCTTTCAAACCTACAAAATGCAAATTATGTCTACTAAACACTAATTTCAAGCAACTTAATACATAAAAAACTCGATTTATAACTATAACTAATCTAAAGTTTAGTTACCTCGCAAGAGGTTAGCACCCAAAATCAATGTCATAGTCGGAATCGCAGCATCTCTGCAACATGGGAATAGGATCCATTAATGTTAGACTAGTTTCTTTCATTGTGGGTCCCATTTCATAACAGGACCTACAAACTAAAAAATTTACACATGGTAAAAAGAATCATACCCTACTAATGATGCAGAATCTTGGATCACATGAAGAGGAGCATCTGTGCCTATTAGTAGCCTACGCATTGGCCCTACCATTCCAACAACGAGGCCTACAATCTTTACAATAATAGAAAATTTGTTATGCAATGAATTATGTATATATGTTTCAGGTTAAATAATACGCATGTAGGGGTTGGCAAAAGTAGTATACCGCTGCTGTGGTTGAAGGTGCCAACAACGACTTCAAGTTAATCCTTCTTGAAAAGTTCCCCAAATGTTGCTTCACTGTATATAACATCACCTGATGCATGACATGTAAGATCAAACTTGTAATTATATTCTTCAGTCATGAATGAAAGCGAAACAATACCTTCGTTTTTTTCTTGATGTTGAAAGTAGATGAAGATAATGGAATCAAGCTTTCACTCAAATCCTCTTGCTCGGTTACTGTTTCTGTGACAACATTGTTACTAGAATCTTGAGAGAATACCCGAAGTAGGTTGTACACGAAAGTCCAAACAAATAAAGATCCCATCTAATGAAAAACATTGTTTACAACATATAAATATGGCAATTTAACGAGTTTGAAAAGCTAATTATTATCCATAGAATTAAGTACATACTGCCATAGATAGTGAAGCATAAGCCATGGCATACCCATGACAAACATCAGGATCACCAAAGGGACTTCCTTTCTCTTTGCATACAGCTGGGACGATAATCAAAAGCAAATTTCCAAGGTTTCCTGTAATTCGCAATCGAAATTTTAAAATTTTATTCAACTTATAGGAGGGTATTTTAGGTAATTTACCTGCTGAACAGGTCCCTAAGATGAGGCCCTTGAGATGTTCAGGTGGTCTTGTGATGATCAAAAGCAGCCATCCAAGTGCAGCCCCCAATATGAATGTAATAAGAATATTCACAGGCATAAACCACCTGCATTGTTTTTAACACTTAATTTACTAACAATGATAGCAACAGCAGAGAAAATCAATTGAAAACTTACATTGAAATGATGCTTTCGAGAGTGATTGTTTGAGCAAGATTACTGGCCACGAGTGCTGGATTAGACACAAAGAACACACCCTGATAACATAGGAAAGAGTTTCGTGAGTCGCATAGAAAATCGAATCTTTAATCAAATTGAAAAGTTTCTTGAACATGTGTATTTAAATTTGAACCCACGACTATGAGTTCATAATCAGCAAAAGTAGAACATCAATCGAAGCATTCGTAATAACAAAGGGAAAAGCTTACATTATTGACGTGCTTCCTTGCAGTTTGTCCTAATATATCGACAGAATCCAAAGCAAGAATTGAGCCGAGTGCAGTAATTATCAGAACTTTGAGAATAGGCGTAGAAGCAGCAGAAAACAGATCCAGAAACCCCATCTATTAAACAAAACTGTTTCCAGAAATCTCAAGAAAAGAAAACGAAACAATCGAACTGCTTCTAAGATTGTGAAGCGTGCTACTAGTATATATATATATATACAAAAGACAAGAAGAAATGGGGAAGACTATATATATATAAACTGAAACAGTAGGGACAATCACCATAAAAATACAACAGCAACAAGACGAGAAGATACCACTAGATCTTCGATATATTCTTTAAAAAAGGAGCTATAGCTTTCCGAAATTCAGATCTTTGACAAAACCAGTTTGGTAGCAAAAAGGAAGATACCACTCTTCCAAAATTCAAACATTTGACCAAAACAAGTTTGGTAGCCAAAAGAAGGATCGGTTACGTGTAGTTTAATGAACACGACCGCTCCACGTCTATCACATGCAAGTGGCTTTAATCTGACAATGACATTCGTAGTGTCAACCATTTTAGGACTCCACGTTTCTTGGTCAATAAAAAATATTATTGAATCATATTATCAAATTAAGTATAGTATTTTTGAAATTGAAACAACTACTATGGCTGGTTTTTCTTAGGCCTTGCTTATTATTATTTTTGTGTTTTACGTTGAGAGATAGAATCAGTATAATGAGTATGTATAGCTTAATAATAATAATAATTTATATAAATGGTTAATGTGGTTTCATAGATTCGTAAGTTTTATCCATAACTCTTTTCGTTCGACATATAAGTTTTTGCGGTATCAATTTCTTGTATGGTTACCCATGTAAAATAACCTTTATGTCTTTTATATTTTATTTTAAAAGATTTTTATACAAAAGAAAAGTGACCCCACCCTACATATCCAAACGGCAAAACCATAAACACTTATGCTCACCCCATCGATTCTTCTCTTTGTTTCCCGACTCCTCCACTGCCACTTCTTCGGACAACCATCTTTCCAACGATGAGCTACATAAAATCTGAATTAGAAATCATAAAACATATAGATATCCTTAGAAATAACATATAATGGCACTATATCATATTTTTTCAGTGACATATGTCATTGAAAAAAGGGTAAATTACACGAATGGTCCCTATGATTTGGGGTAATTTAGATGTTTGGTCCTAAAAACATTTTTTAACTCACACCGTTTCTATTTCATATTTTTGTTGTATGTTTGATCACTGTTCATTCTAAAAAGACTGATTTACCCTTAATGATTTCTTTATCTTTTTTTTAAATCATTAATTAGTTAAAAATACATTAATTAAATGTGGACGAAAAGCCAATTTGTCATTGCACGTCCCCAAAATTAGACCATCCCAAAAATGATGAAGCACAAATCTGGTAGAACAACTCTCTCGTCGTTTCTCATATTGCCACTCCACCTAAAATTCCATTGCCAACCTGACTTCATCTCCTATCTCCCTCTTTGTTGCCTGGAAATCTAACGCGGACCTCACTTCATCTCCCAACTGAATTCCACCGTCGATTGAAGCAAAAATTACACTGATGTTAACTGATGTCATCGGTGATTGCAGATTTCAATTGAAGCAACAAACGTCCACCATCTTCATCACTACTTCTCACATCTCTCTTCAACCCACCAATGCTAGTGGTGGTTATGAAATCATGAAACAAAACGGTACTTGGAAAATCAATTTATGAAATGGGAAGCTTTTTCAAAAATGTTGAAAGGTTTTCTGGAAATGAGATCTAAAGATCGATTTTGTTGAATTTCTTGATTTTGAGGGAGAAAAAAGGAAGTAAACATAATCGGTGTTTCTTTTCAAGAACTTATCTTCCTCTGGTTTTGTATTCATTTTCATCTGATTCGCATGCCCAAAGTTTTCGTTTTATGACCTAGAAATCTCCTGGAATTCATCTATGTCATTAGATTGAGTCTTCAAATTAGAAATTGTGTCGATTTTGAATTTGCAGGTTTGTAAATTTACATGGTCATGGTGATAATCAATCGTCATGGGCATGGGTTGAAATATTTAATTAGGGCATCCAAAATGCATTGAACTCTATAGAGTTCAATGGAATGTCACATCATCATTCACTATTCCATACAAATCTTTTCATTTTTATCCCACAATACATTAAACTCTATAAGTTTAATAGAACATATTAAAAAAGTGTTTATTTATTTAATAGCTAAAAAACATTTATTTATTTAATAGCTAAACATACATTAATAAAAAAATGCATTCATTAAAAGAAAAAAAGAAATAAAATAATTAAAAGACATCAACTAAGATTAAAATACCTAAAAAATACAATAACTACAAAATATTGTATTTTATTTTGATCTCCTCACAACTGTTCCTCCAAATATCCTGTCCTTCCTCTGACATGGTACTCGGGTCCAAAAAGAAGATTGACATCTCATCATGTTTGATTTTTTCTTGTTTAACTTTAATCTTTTCTTGTTTTAAAGCATTTTCTGATAGCGTTCATAGTTTTTTTGTTATCATGCACATGTTTTTCAAGTATTTCATCAAGTCGACTACTTGATGATGAGGTAGACTTGGATGCTTTACCTTTTATAGTCTTCTTGGCTTCCTTCGTACCAATTGGGCGAGATGTATCTTCGTTATCATCCAAGTTGATAACAGATTGTGCATTAGATGAAGATCTAGATGCCTCAGATGTAGTGCCCGCGGCTTTCCATTTGGGTTCATTTTTGACCAAATTCCAAATGTGATTGTGCCTGAAATTTGTAGAATATCTTGTACTATAATGCTCAAAAGCTCCCTTTTTTAAATCTTCATCGGACCATCTGCTTAGGTGTTGACTTTTTAACACTAAATAAATTTGATTGAATGCAACAACTAGTGGGTTCATGTAATGCCAATGAGTTTTAAGATTTTTTTGAGCTCTTATAGTGCTTGTTGTGTTGGAACTTTGGTAGTATGTTTTGATACGTTGCCAAAACTCCTTATCGCGTTGTGATGTGCCCTTGATGCTATCTTCTGATATATGTAACCAAGCTTTTGCAAGCAATATTTCTTCTTCCCTAGTCCAATAGGTTTTTTTAGACTTGGATCGTTTGTTGGTGGGACTAACTTCTGGAGTAGGTTCCATATATTGAGGGGGGTTTGGATATTGATTTTGAGAAGGATTTGTGCATGGATAATTTGGGTTTGGAGAAATTGGAGGTGAAGAATGTGGGTATGGAGGATTGTTTGGATTTTCGAGATTAATAGAACTCAATATGTTTGTGTAATAATAAGAATTCATGATTTAAGTATGAAGGGTATGAGTGAGGAAATCAAGTAATGAAAATGATCACATTAGAGGTTTTTATAGGAAAAATGATATCGGCACATCAATATATGAGCACTTTGCATAAAGTGATGATATTTGGTATAAGATGTTCAATATTCTCCAAATATTCTGCATGAAATTTCAAGGATTTTGAATAAAAGTTTCAAGTAATTTGGATGACAATTAATTATAAATTCAATTACCATTATTAATTTATATTTTATTAATATAATAATTTGGATTACTTCTTGCTAACATAGACTTAAGATATGGAAGAGAATCAACAATATTTGATGTATCATATTTCATCAAATTGGTATCCATTCAAATATATACTTTTATATTTTGAAATCAAAAATGTATTTTAAGTTTAAGAATATTTTCATCCATATATTATGTTTTGTATGAATCAAATCTTATAGTATTTTCAACGAAATATATTATATTTTGAATCAAATTTTAGTGGATGATAAATAAATTATTTTTACATATATAATGATTTGTATACATAAATAAAATATATCATGATTATCTATGACATCCTCATTTTCACGGCCAGAAAAAACCGATTTTGTTCATGCTTTATAAAAATAAGAGTACTTCTTTTCATAAATATGTTGCGGAATTTGTTCCCAGAAAAAATACGATAAATACGTTATCAAAATATTTTCGAAGAAACGTATTTTATTCATTTTAAAACGTTTGGGATGTCATCGTCAATACAGAAACATAAGCATAAACAGAACTTACATTTATTTACACTAGTGGTCTACATCTCTGTAATCTCTCAGTGTAATGTGACTTCATATCAACACATGTGATATAAATAAACTGAGTGGGTCAGGTTGGGAAACCTGGTGAGTACATAGGGTTTTCAACCCATAATAATATAATTATTATGTTTAAACAATCAAACAATCAACCCAATTACCCATCCCCATTATCTTCTTTAATCTTAAGGATCTACCCTAAGAATCAGTTATTCCTCGTTCATTCATCCCTAAGGATCATCCTAAGGAATCGGCATAAAGTCCATCGTTGCCACGGTTTACACAGCGGGCACTAAGTCTGCATAGTCGCCAGGATTTAGGCATCAAGTCTGCATGAGCACCAAGGTTTAGGCATCAAGTCTGCATGATCACCAGGGTTTAGGCATCAACTATGCATGATCACCAGGGTTTAGGCATCAAGTCTGCATGATCACCAGGGTTTAGAGTACACCAGGTGAACACATCGTTCACAACACCTACAGGTTGCGAGCCTGCTAGTGTTCCACTGGACTGTCTAGAATAGTCCGTGGTTGTCATTCATACTCTGCTGAATGATAGGGCCATCATTTGGGAAAAAGGCTTCTCACATCGTCCACCTCTCACCCTCACCTCGTGGTCTATAACACCTCTCAACTCATAATTCAACTCATATTCCATCTATTATATCTACCCATGTTTACCCCAACATTATCGTAGATATAAAATCCATATACAGTTTAAATCATTTAAAACATGTATAAAATCGTTCATTTAGCATAGACAACAAGTATTCAGATAATATGCACACATAGCACGTAATTTATATAAAATACTTCATATCTATGTGTAAGATGAAAGTAACTATCCACTCACTTGAAAAGGTGGTGATTCCGAACTCAGACAGCACTTCACTTCTTGAAAAAAAAAATTCCTTCGACGAAACCTAATATTATCACCACTAGAGTTTAGTCTATTATTCACTGAGACTAATTAATAATTTAGCTATTATTACTATTATATAACCGTTAAATAATACTTATATAACCCATAATAATAGCCCATTTACTTATTATATGTTCTTAATAACGTTAATATAATTAAATAAAAACTATATTAAAAATAGCGTAGGCGTAGCTCACTTACAACGAGTTTTATAGAAAACCAGGCTTTGCTTGGAGCAGCATTCCCGTGTGGAAAAGCTCTTCTTCTCGGAGCCGTCGAGCACTCAGGGGCTTCCGCCTCATGCTAGGGAGGTTTCCTAGGCTTTTCGGGGGGTTTCGGGGCTAGAGAGAGGTTCTAGAGAGAGAGTAAAGAGAAAAAAGAATAAGAAATGTGTGAAGAAAATGAGGGTGGGAGAGGTTCTATTTATAGAGTGAAAATGGCTGAACTTGGTGCCACATGTCACCATCTAGTGGCAAGACTTTGGGAGAAAGCAATGGCCAAGATTGTGCCACATCACCCATTTTCGCACAGCACACTTTCGACTTTTTAAATCCGTAACTTTCACATACGACCTCCGCTTTTGACGTTCTTTATATCCACACGTAGGTAAACATAATATCTACAACTTTCATTTTGACTCCGTCGGCTAATTCTCGACCGATCTTAAATTTAACAGTACTAGGCGTTTAAACTGTTAAATGACCGCGAAGAATTCGTAACTCCTTCATACAGACTATGTTTTCGTCTGTCTTTTTACTGTTAAGTTCATATTAATGAGATCTTCAACTCTCATTTAAGTCACGTAAGCCAAAAACCGCTCGAACTAAAATTCGAGTTTCGGGTCGTGCACTGCTATGCCGAATCTTAGAAAAATCACAACTTCTTCATACGAAGTTAGATTTGGGCGTTCGTTTTATGGATTTTCTCGGTTTAAAATATTATACGAATTTAGTTTAGATCACTAAGGCTAAAAATTCATCTATCGTAAAATCACTATTTACACTTCCACGTGTCGTGTCGGTTCCGTCTCGAAACTTCGACGGGTCATAACTTCTTCGTTATAACTCGGATTTCGACGCTCTTTATATGTACGGAAACCTTGTGACATATTCTAAAACTTGGTTAATATTATTTATTTTAAATAATCTTTTGTCGAAAAATCATTTTCGACCCCTATTACCTCTAAATTGACTAGCCCGGATCTACGGGCGTTACATTATCATCCATTTATTTTTGTATGCTTTCTATTTGTTAAATATCACCAAAATATTTTCTATTAAATAAAATATTATCCCACCTACTTCCATTTGAATCAATTATGATCCTCATATTGTATATAAGAATATAAATCCACCACACACCTTCAAAATTATATCTTTGTTGATACATTTTGCATAAAATGTCATCATCTTCATCTGACTATAGTTATGATTTTATAATGAAACAATTGACAGATAATTCAACAATTCAATTGTATCATGAGCTTAAACGCTTAGAAGCAGAATAAGATGATGCAGAAAGTTCAAGACGTCCTAAAAAAAGTCGAACATATATTAAAAGTGATCGTGAATTATGATCGTCTTTGGAACGACTATTTCGATGAGCATCCTATTTATCCGCCTAATATTTTCCGACGAAGATTCCGGATGAGGAAGGAGTTATTTCTTCGAATAGTTGATGGTATCTTTAATCATTCTGTTTTTTTCAACAAAAATTTGATGCTTTAGGTAAAAAAAAAAGGTCTTTCCCCTTTACAAAAATGCACAGCTGCTATACGTCAGTTAGGATATGGCACATCAGCTGATCTTTTTGATGAATACATACAAATTGGTGAAACAACATCAATCCAATGTCTAAATTTTTTTTGTAGATGTTTAATTGAGGTTTATTCAAACCATATCATGAGAAAGCCTAATGCAAATGATATCCAAAATTTATTGCAAAAACATTCGGAAAAACATGGATTTCCTGGCATGTTAGGAAGTATTGATTGTATGCATTGGCCTTGGAAAAATTGTCCTGTTGCATGGCAAGGTCAATATACTCGGGGTGATCAAGGGTGTCCAACAATTATGCTAGAAGCAGTTGCATCACAAAACCTATGGATATGGCATGCATATTTTGGGGTAGCAGGATCTAATAATGATATTAATGTACTCAATCAATCACTGTTATTCAGTGAAATATTACAAGGGTATGCTCCAGAATGCATATTCACAGTGAATGGCATTACATACAATAAAGAATATTATCTCGCAGATGGTATATATCCCGAATGGGCTACTATAGTTAAAAGTTTTCCACATCCAGTTGACCCAAAGAGGACAAAATTCAAAGAAGTCCAAGAGGGTGCAAGAAAGGATGTCGAAAGAGCTTTTGGTGTTCTTCAATCTCGTTGGGCAATTGTACGAGGACCAACAAGATCTTGGCAACTCAAGAATATAAGAGATATAATGTATGCATGCATTATATTAGAAAATATGATCGTAGAGGACGAAGGAAACGTGATTAGTAATTGGTCAGATGATGTTGATCCTCCAATACATGTACATCGAGGACCAACCCAAGAAATTCAATACCAAATTTTAAGAAACGCTGAACTACGTGACAGTGAAATGCATCACGCACTTCGACACGATTTAATGGAACATATTTGGGAACGTTTTTTACAAAACAACGATCAAAATTAATATCTAATTTCATCAAGTTTGAGTCTTATAATATATTAGTATTGTATTTCTAGAATGAATTAAATTGGAAATAGTAATTTTTTTTTGTTATCTTTTTATAATATTATATGATTGTTTTTTTTTTCTTTTTATTGTATGTTCGTAGGTTTTTAAATAAATAAAAATCATGTGGCCCATTTTGTTAATGTGATTAATTATCCTTTTTTTCTTACTTTTACGTAGACTTATTTTTTTTCTAAGACGTGGAATTTTAAAATCATATTACGTATATATATTCAATACATTAAAATTATATTACAAATATATATTAATAAAAGTCTACAAAAACTAATTTGTTATATTTATTTAAAGATTTAAAGACTTTACTTTTTCTCATTGAAGAGTTCAAGGGCCATTGAACTCCAAATTCATTGAATGCCAATGTAGCATTTCACAATGGTGGAGTTGTATCCATTAAATGACAAATATGCATGACACCTCATTCAACTATTCCATTAAACCCCTCATTGTGGATGCTCTTAGTTGAAACCTATAAATTGAATCATTTATGATTTGATTTTAAGAAGAAAATTGTGGTTGTTCCACTGGAATGGTCGTATCCATTTTCTATCTGAGTTTCTGATTTAAAAACTTCTAGTGAGATGATTAAACAATAATCGAAGATGTATTCTATTGTTGCAGCTCTTGCAAAAGTGTTGAGGTTAATTTTGTAAGAGCTCCGGTGGTCTGGGACTTTTCCAATGAATCATCTTCATTGATAGAGACCGACGATGGCTTAGGGAGGAGGGAAAGACTATAAACGGGAATAGTAAAGAGAAAGGTAAAGGGTGAAGGTGGTTTCCGAGGCGAAGGAGTTTCCCAATCGTAGGGGTGGTCATCGGAAAAGTGGCAATGGTGTCGTCACAAAAATGTCTCGCCGGAAAAGGGTTTGGGGAGATACAGAAAAGGAGAGTCGAGTGGGTTAAAATGAATAGGGGGATTACTTTTATTATCTTTTTTATTTAAAAATGATAGACAAAAATAATAGAAAATTAAAAAAGAAATACATAAGGGCAGGATAGTCTTTTTACATCACTCAGGGACCAACGACGCAACGAAACCAAAAATAAGGGATTATCCGAGTTAAAAAAAATTGTTAGGGACCACACATGCAAGTTACTCCAAACCACAGGGACAATTTGTGTAATTTACCCTTGAGAAAATTAATATATTTAATGACATTTAACATTTTATGTCATATATATATATATATATATATATATATATATATATATATATATATATATATATATATATATATATATATATATATATATGTTAAAGATGAGCACCAATTTGAATAGTGAACATTTTTTTTTGGTAAAAATGACCCTTAGCTTTTCATATTTTTAGTTGTTTAGATTTTTGGCACTAAACTTTGTAGTATTGATAATTTGGTCCCTTAAATGATATAAAGATAAGGATGAGACTGATACGTGTCGTTCCCATGTCTTCTCACCTATTTTGCCTTATATTCCCCCACCTGCTTTCTCATCACCCATTCAACATCCGATCTGTATTATTTGCCCACCGCCTCATACCAACTCCATTCGATGCTTCTGTCGTTCATCTGCTTTTTCTTGTCTGATGGTGGAGTTAATGCCAAGGTGCTTCTTCTCCACCTTTTGTACTTCTCTCTCCTCATGTGAACATTAGGTACAGACCCACCCATCGATGCTTCGTCGATATTTAGATGTGCTACATAAAGTTTTTTTTTTTTTGGTTTTCTAGGGTTTTTATCTGGCTTACCTGTTACGATCGACACCACCATCAAAACTCCATTCATCGTCTAAGACAAAGGTCATCGGCGCCGCCCTAGGCGGAAACCACCTCATCACACGGAAGGAGGAAGCCCCCAAGTAGAAATGGAGAGCGAAGACCGCCACAGGTGCTTCATATATGGCGTCATCTTCCCATCGATTCGCAGCTATCACCAGGTAAATCTCAGCTACGCTTATAAAACCTTAGGGTTTTTTTTTGCACCATTTTGAATAATGAACATTTTTTTTTTGGCAAAAATGACCCTTAGCTTTTCATATTTTTAGTTGCTCAGATTTTTGGCACTAAACTTTGTGGTATTGACAATTTGGTCCCTTAAATGGTATAAAGATATGGATGGGACTAATACGTGTCGTTCCCACGTCTCCCCCACCTATTTTGCCTTATCTTCCCCCACCCACTGTCTCATTACCCATTCAACATCCGATCTGTGTTATTTGCCCACCGCCTCACACCGATTCCATTCGATGCTTCTGTTGTTCATCGGCTTTTTCTTGTCCGATGGTGGAGTCGAAGCCAAGGTGCTTCTTCTCCACCTTTTGTACTTTTCTCTCCTCATGTGAACATTAGGTACAGACCCGTCGATGCTTAGTCGATATTTAGATGTGCTATATAAAGTTTTTTTTATGATTTTCTAGGGTTTTTTTTTCTGGCTTACCTGTTACGATCGACACCACCATCAAAACTCCATTCATCGTCTGTGACAGTGGTCATCGGCGCCGTCCTAGGCGGAAACCACCTCATCACACGGAAGGAGGAAGCCCCCAAGCAGAAACAAAGAGCGAAGACCACCACAGGTGCTTCATATACGACATCATCTTCCCATCGATTCGCAACTATCGTCAGGTAAATCTCAGCTACGCTTATAAAACCTTAGGGTTATTTTTTTTGCCAAATATTCTTCTACCTATTCCACTTCTCATCATCTTCTATTTATCTGTATCTTGAGAGGTATCGGTGACAGGAATCGGTGGACCTATACTTGTAATCGCCACTTTCAAGTTCGATTGATTCTGGAATAAGCCATACGGCCATGGTGATGTACCTGATTCTTATTCTTCGTATGTACCTTTTGCTTTTTCTATTTCTTCTTCACCTTATCTCCATTCATCTCACCTTCTTCTATGCATATCAGATGGCTACCAGATATGCTCTCAACCAAAAATCGATTGGTGGTGGTGTGACCCAAAAAAAAACTATCTACTTCTTCTCTTCGACTACGCATCAATCTATGACCATCTATATAGGGATTATTGTTCCAGGTATGTAACCGATTCGATCACCGAATTAACGAATCATCTTCATCGATAGAGACCGACGATGGCTTAGAGAGGAGGGAAAGACTATAAACGGGAATAGTAAAGAGAAAGGTAAAGGGTGAAGGTGGTTTCCGAGGCGAAGGAGTTTTCCGATCGTAGTGGTGGTCGGATGTGGTTTTCTTGTGACCAGACATAAGAAGCAGATGAGGGGTGGTCATCGGAAAAGTGGCAGTGGTGTCGTCACAAAAGTGTCTCGCCCGAAAAGGGTTGGGGAGAGACGGAAAAGGAGAGTCGAGTGAACAGGGATAAAATGTGTAGGGGGATTACTTTTTTCTTTTTGATTATAAATGATAGACAAAAATAATATAAAATTAAGAAAGAAATATATAAGGGGAGGATAGTCTTTTTACATCACTCAGGGACCAATGACGCAACAAAAACAAAATTAAGAGATTATCCGAGTTAAAAAAAATTGTTAGGGACCAAATATGCAAGTTACCCAAAACCACAGGGACAATCTGTGTAATTTACCCTTGAAAAAATTAATATATTTAATGACATTTAACATTTTATGTCATAGTATTTATAATTATTAATGACATATAATTCAACATGCCACTAAAAGTTTTGTTTTATAAAAAATATTGCATAAATAATTTTCGACAAGAAAATCTTTTTTAATATTAACATTTTGACTTTTATATAATTATATACTATACTAATTTAGAACTCCTTGGTGAACAGTTCGTTACTGTCATTGGCTGGATTTTTTTCTTTTTCCTTTTTTATTTATTTTCCGCCTATTTATATAACTATTAAACTTGAGGCCTTATGTATAAAATTGCTACGTGTTCAACTTACTACGTGTTATGTTCTGCTCAGCTTCAGATTAGATTCACCGTCTCTACTTCTTCCTTTTCCCTCGGTCCACCGCCTCCATCGTCAGCTTCACCGTTGCAAAATCCACCATCATGGACAGTTGTTCTCCGCTGCCTCCCCTGATTCACCTCCGTACAAATACTCAGATCCTCAAACAAACCACTACCATCTTCTCCATCCACCACCACCTCCTCATCTTCATCCTCCCCTCATTTCTCATCCTCCCCCTCCGTTCCAACGTCGAAACCACCACTCACTCCCTTGCTTCCTTCATCGACCATGACCCTTCCATAAAATCACTCTTCTCTCACCTCCACATCTGTTCTAATCCCACCTGCCATCACCCACCACCATCGTCACCGGACTTTCCTTCAGCTTACCTGTGTTGGAACCCTAGATGATGATTTCTTCTCTGGAGATATAATGAGTCATACTGTTATTTTTTTAGCAGAGCCAAATAAAATGAAAATAAACTATCGTTCATGTGCATATAAGCTCCATTTTTTGTCAATTATAATTGGTTACTTTCTATTCTTTTTATGTAATATCAATTTCAATCAACAAATTATAACAAGAAATGATAGAAAATGATAAGAGTGGGTAGATCATGGTGTATAGTTTCATGAAATTGATTCAGTTCATCTTTATTTTACCTTTTTTTTGTTGTGATTTCATTTAACATGTACCTTTTGGTTTCGACTGTAATTTTTGTTGATGTTGTTTAGGTAAGTGTACCTGATATTGTTCCTATAAAGATCAAGAAGAAGATGTTCATGTAACTTCAACATTAAAAAATATACCAGGCAACTTGGGTTTTCACATTTTTTGTTTTAACTGTAATTTGATTTCATCCCAGTTTACAAATTGTTATTGAAGAACCAATTGTAATATATTGGAGTAGCTAGGGTTAGATGTTGATTCTTCTTTAGTTTCTCTCACTTTGTAATAATATTTGTCTAGTTATTTAATGTAATATTTTTGTTTTTATTATGTCGATTTTTATACAGCAAACCAACATTCAGCAAAGTTCATATTTTGAAAAGAAATGTAAAAAATAACCAAATTGTTGTTCACGTACTTGGATTTAAAGATGTAATATGAATTATACTCATAACTTAACGTTGCAATCTTTATTTTTATGTGTGTGTGTGTGTGTGTATATATATATATATATATATGTGTGTGTGTGTGTGTGTAACGCCTCGATTCTCAGGTATTGTCTAAATATGAGTTATTGGGTTAAGCCCTACTCGACGAGTTGGTTGATCAGCGGGAAGGATCGCGAGTTAAGTAACCTACTCGACGAGTCCATATTTGGACTCGGCGAGTAGGAGCTGGCAGCTGAAACCCTAAATCACGGGGCTGTGCACCCTTTTTAAGAGAACACAAACCTCTTTGCAGTCTCTTAACAAACCCTAATACGTGTGTGTGTGTGTGTGCCCATTGTGTGTTTGAAGCCATGAAAGAGGATTTAGTGAAAAGATCTTGGGAAGCATGTGGTTTGAAGCAAGGAGCTTGGGGAAAATCCGGATCTACTCCAGTTGTCATCTCTTGGGAAGGTATCAAGCTGTTATCCTCCTTTCTATTTCATTATAGACCTCATTGGTAGGAGATTAGGGTTCTTGGTTGGGTTATAAAGTCATTTCGTGGAGTATGAGCCAAGATCAAGCATAGTTTGGTCTTTTTGAGTCATTGGAGCCTTGCATGCACGTAAAGTTTGCAACTTTACGTGATAAGCAGGCCTAAGGAAGTTGGATCTACAATTTGGGGCCTTGCCATGGCTTAAAAGTTGTCTGCATGATAAATGACTGAAAGGACTCGACGAGTCGCAAAGCCGACTCGGCGAGTCACATGAAGTCGTGCATTAGACTAAATGAGTTGGACGAATGACTCGACAAGTCCGATGAAGATTGCCATAAGACTTGACAAGTTGAAGAACAACTCGGCGAGTCGGATGAGTTTTAACCAGGTCACGTTTGCATGTATATCCATTGAGTTACATGGAGGGAACTTGACGGGTGGCCTTAAGGTTTGATCGAGATTCGAAGGAACTCGACGAGTCACCCTGATGAGTCGGTGAGTTGAGGTCAACATGGATTGTTGACCTTGACTAAAGACTTTGACCTTGATCAAGGTTAGTTATTCTATGAGGACAGAGACTTATGCGAATGTCACATTATGGTAATAGGCGGTGGGTCTTTGGCAAGTGATCGGAGAGCTTTGATCATTTACCGAGCTAACATCTACGAGGTGAGTTGTCCTCACTATACTAAGGGGTCTAAGGCACCAAGGCCGGCCTGTTGGATGTATTAACCTAGTAGTGTTTGATGTTGATCATGAGTTAGTATTGCATGCTAGTGTTGTATGCTAGTTGATATGCTAGTTTGGTAGGTCTGTAGGACTACCTGTGATATTGTCTTATTTCCTGTATGTGTATTTATCTATTAAATGTCGACATGTTATGTGGGATGGGTTGAGGTTTTACAGCTCCGTGCGGTAGCCAACAAACCCTAGAGTATTCCAGATATGAGCTGAGGGACCGGTAGGCATTCCAGACTCATATTGAGGACTCAGGAGCATTCCAGATACGAGATGAGGGCTCGGTAGGCGTTCCAGACTCATACTAAGGGCTCAATGGCATTCCAGATACGAGCTGAGGGCCGAGTAGGCATTCCAGACTCGTACTGAGGGCCCAGGGGTAGTCTAGCTTGTTAAGCTGTAGACCCAGTATATGATGTTCTGTTTTATTGATATTATATGCTAATGTTGATATTGCTATGTAGACTGTATGTGTATCGGTATTTTTGGGGTAACTCACTAAGCTTTCGGGCTTACAGTTTCAACTTATTGTTTCAGGTACATCAGAGGATCGTGGCAAGGCGAAGGCGTGATCGTACAGCTCCTCCTATTATGCTTGTGTTTATGGGGAAACTCTGATAATCAATATATTTTGAAAACAAAGTTGTAATGTTTTGATGAACTTGATATGTTTAAAAAAGTTTAAATTGGTTTGAAATCTTGGATGTTACAAGTTGGTATCAAAGCCTTGGTTTGAGTGAATTGGAGGAACATTCGTGTGAATCCAGTCTCAAACCAAGGAAAGGTTTTCAAAAATGTTTTAAGAAATTGGTTTTCAAAATAAATAAAGAAGGATGCAGGGTGTACGATCAGCTGGAGCCAGTAAGTAAACCCCAAAAAACCATACAGTTGTTTGATTATATGATATGTTAGAAAAACATGTTGGTACTAGGCTAGGGACCTTCAGGAATTGCATGATAGAATTGCCTTATTACGTGGTGCCTGGTAGCCTAGGGTTTCCCTTATATTAAATTAACATCATTATTGTATTGATTTAGTGTATGCATCACGGTTATACATAATTAAGATCTTATAGCCTGAGAATGTTTAATTTAGCCTTATGTTCTGTTCTTGTTTGATTGGGAGCTTAGGGTAGAACTGAATATTCAAAAGTCTATCGGGTCCAGCATTATGTATGGCTAGCATACACTAGTGCTGACTAGTGCTGCAGGATTGGTGGAAGTTTCGTGAGTGGGTAGGTTGTTTGGATGAGTCCGCCGACTTCGAGGCATCTAGCATTCCTTTAGGAATAAGGCATGAGTGCTCGATATGATTATATGTATTGTTAGGGCGTTGTGGTGATACTTGGAACAAATATGGGTAGGTGTGGAAGGTAGTATGGGCCTGTACTACTGAAAGCACATGACCCATACGCGTGCCAGTGAAGTCACAACTCCTAGGGTTTTGTTGGGGGTTGGTCCCCAATTGTTGTATGAGTCATCTGATACCTTGTGTTGTGTTTCAGAATGGTGATGACCAGTCGCTTTGTGACTGGATCCGGGTCGGGATCAGGATCGAGATTAGGAGAGGGCGGACAAGGGGAGCTGACAGCACCCGAGATGATCGACCAAATAAGACCAGATGAGATGGATGACAGGATCCGAGCAATCCTGCATGACGAGGTTGCTACGTTGTTACGGGCCGAGTTTCCGAAAATGTTCGGGTCAATTAAGACCGCCATGGTGTACCTCGATGAGCGTTACGCAGCCCTCGCAGAGACAGCTGCCGCAGCAGCTGCATCAGTTGTATCTACGGGAGGGGGATGAGTATGTAGGGGTTTTTAGTACCGGGACTTCGACAACACGAAGCCCCCTACTTTTGATGGGACACATGATCCCATCAAGGCTATGAGATGGATTTCAGATGTGGAGGGGTGTTTCTTCACCTGCTCGTGTCCTACTGGCCAAAAGGTCAGGTGTGCTCTGAATCTGCTTAGGTCCGGAGCCAAGGACTGGTGGAGACTTGTGACTGGGACTTACACTAATGATCAGAGAGCTGTTGTTATTTGGGATCAGTTCATGGATATGTTCCGCGATCGTTACATTCCGAGGGTTGAGCGGGAACGTTTGGCACATGAGTTTCTAAGTTTGAGGCAAGATGGAGAGTTGGTGACGGAGATCGCCCGTATGTTCACTGAGCAGGCGATGTTTTGCCTAGAGTTTGCTTCCGAGCAATCTCAGATGACCCATTATCTGAGTATGCTCAAGATTGATATCCGGCAGTTTGCAGCTACCCAACGATATGATACTCTTCTGGAGTTGCAGGAGGCCGCCAGATGGCGGGAGTTGGAGATTGAGTTGCAGCTAAGGGAGCAGCGGCCGGCCCCGGTACTGTCACAGCCGGCGCCGAAGCGGCCTGAGACCGTCGATGCTAAGACCGAGGTCAACAGGGTCACACTTGTGGGAAGTGTGGCAAGAGACATTCTGGTGTATGTCGGGCTGGTAGTGGGTACCACAAGTGTGGCAAGGAGGGGCATTACGCGAAGGATGGTCGCCAGGCTACCCCAGTCGAGGGTATGAGGTTATGTTATCACTACAACCAGGTCGGCCACATGAGGTCCCACTGTCTACTACTTGCCGCCAAGCTAGTGCAGGCTGCAGTACCGGCTACTTTGAGGATCACAGATGGGAGACCAGCCAGGACAGAGCCTCCGAAGGCTCAGGGCCATGCTTTCCAACTTACGGTGGAGGAGGCCAGAGCAGCACCAGATGTGGTTGTTGGTATGTTTCTATCCTCATCTTGTTTTATTTATCTGTTATATGCTTATATGTTGTACCTGTGATTAGGTACGTTTTTGGTGAACTCTTTGCCCACTTTGGTGTTATTTGACTCGGGGGCGATTCGGTCCTTCGTGTCTCGGTCTTTTAGTAGGGAGTTCAGTACGCCTGTGGGCGAGTTGGAGTGCCCGTTACGACTATCTATCGC